AACTACCTAACTACTAATAACGAAAAAGTTTTACCCTTAAACCTTAGTACCTAGTTACGGGTCCTAAAGGGCGGAGTAGTACGGTTACGAGTCAGGGTACGTGTGTGTGTGTAGTGGAACTGTTTTTCTGAATTGGATTATTATGTGGATTGAAGAAATATCAGTCATAGGTAGGTGTAATTTTGATGTTATATCTGGTTACAGCCATGTCAGTATTTTTCCACTAACTTTTGTGCAGTTTTTACATGAACTGGCTAATATCTTAGTCTCAAACCTCAAAGGGCATGCTTAAGCAGCCCAAGGGATCAAACGTCCATTGGAACTGTTTCAGTGAGCTGACAGGTATGTGGTCAAATGGGATCTATGATTCTAATCTGTTTGGTCATTTTTCTTATGAAAATGGCCACTGATTTTGAGGTAAGGATAGAAATTTCTGAGCTGCCACAGATTTTGAGGTACAGATAGCAGCTCTGAGCTTACATCAATTTGAAATCCTTGTGTATCTTGTTTATAATACTTGGAGCTATATTTATCTTTATCACAATGGTTTTAGTTTTATTTTCGTGATAATAACATTAATTTTGCAGGTGATTGTGTAGGACTTGATTGGCTTGAGGTTTGGTTTTGAATTCTCTGAGTGTCTAAATTCTCTGTTTTTTATTTTTATTTTATTTTATTTTTTTTTGAAATTATGATGTATCTTTGGTTGTACGTCATTTACTAATAAAAAATCTTGCTGTAAAAATCAGTCACCTACCCATTCAGCCACCTGTTAAGCTTAGAAGACATTTTACAACACTGAGTAACACATTAGCCCTGTGTTTACTGGTTGGATAGTATACTATGATGTAGCCTAAATCTTAGATCAAAAGAAAAGTTGCTAAAATTAGTGGTATATAATTGTAAATTAGTGTTAAAAGGTTTTTTTAGTTTTCAATAAAGTATTTTTCTAAACAAACTGTTTAAAGATCTAATTATTTTGTTAATTGCAGCCAAGACATTAAAGTCTCATGTTTCTAATCCATCATTGTCATTCCCCATAAAAACGCTGAGAGTTAATTCTACTGTAAATATTATAAAGATCAGTGTTGAGAGCTGCAGTTTAGAAATTCAAAGGTCAAACTTATCCTCATTGTTTATGCAAGTATAAGCAATCTTGGGTTTCCTATCAGGTATTTTAAACTGCACATACTTTTAATATTCCTTTTCTTTTCATACATTTTAAGTGGTACTTCAAATATCTTAAGTATATGTTTTTATTCTTCAGATCATGCTCTAAGACTCTGGAACATTAAAACAGATCAATGCATTGCCATTTTTGGAGGTGTGGAAGGTCACAGAGATGAAGTACTTAGTGCTGTAAGTACATACAATAAGAGTTAAATATCACTTTAACATTGCGTAAATAGTTACGCTTACCCCTGGTGTTAGGGTATTGCAATCATTATTACTCTGATTTTTGTAAGTGTATCTTCACAAAATTTGGAAAGCTTTAAGTAAACATTACAAAAGTTGTATACAAAAAAAGCTGATTTTTTAATAAAGTGTTTGTACTAAAGATTTGTCTGTGAATTTACAAAACCTTTACTGAGACAGTCTGAGTGAAAGGCAAATCTTCATGCTAAGAATAAAAGTACTTCTTTTCATCTTACAGTTTTCATATTTCATTTAATTCAATTTCAATTAATCAATTTTTTATTTGGGAAAAGTTTATTATTTTATCTGTTATATTCTTTACCCTAACATAAACTGTAGCAAAATCATCAGTTTAAAGTGAAATGGAAAGTTGAAAAATAAGAAATAAATGAATAACACCTTTTATTTTTTTAATGCATCATTTGTTGCCATATCTTCAGTTGTCTAACAGTTCCAATTGATAATTTTTTTCACATTTCGTTTAATTTTGTTTCTTTATTGCTGGACTTTGCTCTGGGAAAGCTGTTTATTACTCTGTGAATAGCAATAAATCCCATTGATAACTGGTATCAACTTCGCCCCTTAGATAAAGTAAATAAAATAATCAAGTTACACAGTTTCAGTTCCTAAGTTTATAAAGTATAATGTAAAAAATGTGACATCTGTGTTACTAGAATTGTATATAAACTCTCATTTCATGTAACTTATAACTGTGTTTCAGAAATAACCTGTTGTATTTTTTGTATACTGATATTGAAGTTGTTCGAGGTATAAATCTTATATTTATTATACTTAAAAATGTTTTAAGTGTAACTGAAACCTCTCAAGGACTAATTGATATTGTTAGAGATATTGACATGAACTACTTAATAACACAGTGTTTAAATTCATATTGATATGAAGTACATGAAAACACAGAGTTTAGATTAATATTGACATGAACTACATGAGTTAAGTGCTTAGATGTATATTGACATGAACTACATAAACTGTTTAGATTCATATTGACATGAACCACATAAAGTGTTTAGATTCATATTGACATGAACCACATTAAACTGTTTAGATTCATATTGA